GAAATAATGTTTCCTTTAAGATTAGATGATATAACTACTTGGATTCTAGGTTGGAGATAACTTGACCTAAGTTTAGTAGCTTGTATGTGCCCCATATTGATATGAGCATGGAGATGATACAAATGGATTGGAGGTGGTAGACTTTGATGGCCCTCCCCAAGAACGTATGAGTACAAGATCATCATGGGACAATGGTTTGGATTAATTTGAACAAATGGAAATTTTGATGGTATGTGTGCCTTGTTGGAGCAACTGATCTCGCTTTTATTATGTGTTTGTGCTCATTTAGATGCAGTAGTAGCAGCAGCGTAGTACTTATTCAAAGATGAATCCAAGGGTGAAGGTTTTAGTTTTGCTAATTTCAATCATTAAGGTTTATTAGTTATTTTGATATTCTCAAATCTTATTGGATGATGATCTGGTGTTGAACTCAAGTTTTTTGGTCACTCATGAACCTGGAACTTGATCCATCAGATGATCGCAAATTCTCGACCCCTTTTGATTCTTCGCTTGCTCAGTACAATAATTTAGTCTCCAAAGATTTTGATTTGGATTATTATTATTATTGGTTGGTTCTCTAAAAATTGGGATTATATGATCAGGGGCCGAGGTGACTTATCTTCTTGCCGACCTGCATTTGGATGATCATTACTTTCTCTATTTAATTTCTTCCTCTCCACAGCTCACCTTTAGTCCAACAATTCTAATTTGCATTTATTGGTGGTTTTTTAGAAATTAGGGGTTATACGGCTCAACAGGGGTACTTATCGTCTCACTGATCTATGTTGGGAGATCATTACTCTCTCCATTTAATTTCCTCCTCTGCATTGTTCAATTTTAGTCCCTTAACAATTCTAATTTGAATTTATTGGTGATTCTCCAGAAGTTGGAATTATACAACCTAGCGGGGGTGACCAAGCTCTTTAAAAAATAGTCTTAAGACCAAAGGCATTACCAAAAGCCGCCAACGGACCGACCACCACCATGACCTCAATTTGCGCAAGGGTTTATGAACAACACCAACCAAGCTCTTTAAAAAATAGTCTTAAGACCAAAGGCATTACCAAAAGCCGCCAACGGACCGACCACCGCCATGACCTCAATTTGCGCAAGGGTTTATGAACAACACCACATCATCTGCGTACAAGGTTTATGAACAACACCGGATCATCACCGCCATGACCTCCTGCATCACTGCTCGGCTAGGGTGAGGCTGAATCCAGTCCTGCTCCACTTGTTACATCATTTGGCACAGTTGGCCCAATGGTGTGGCATCTCCTCCAGCGGCGGTGCACCATCCTCATCATCGCCACCACCTCCCTACGCCGCAGTGGGTCATCAGCCAGCCGCTGTGGATAGAACGTGATTGATTCCACGTGTACAAGCACCGGGTAGCATAGGAGGCACACCTCCCCCTTGCCACCGTCAAGGCCGAAACCTGGCAAGAGGGAGACATGCATGAGCAGGTCGGGCAGAAAGCACAAGGCTGCACTGTAGCATCTTCGTTGGCACCTCGTTGGGGTCGTCCACCCATGCCCTGACGACGAAGTATGAGAGGTTGAGCTTGTCAAGGGATTCGATGGCCATATGGTAGATTAGGCATTCGGGCAACAGTTCTTGCGCGGTTTGAGGCGAGAACTCCCGCAAGGGATGCGTTGGATGGACAGCCTAACGTTGTAGCAGCATTGAACTGATGTGGCGAAGGTTATCTTGTTCGAACGCCACACTAGGAGCAGCGTGCGTCCACCCCACGAACCATGTCGAACCACCGGCAGTGCGTGAAGCTGGCGAAGAAAGATCCTAGCTGCATGAGAGAGACCTAAAAGCCGTTTGTTCAAAAGCACCGGGAAGTCGTCCCTGATGCCCTCAACAATTTTTACCAGGATTAGAGATGACCTTGTACCCGCCACCATGAGCACCAGCCCAAATCCCATAGGTAAGAACATATCCTCGATGTGGCACCTCGTCTTGCGTGAGCAGGTATTGCCCCTCGCCAGGTCGTATGTGAACCTAGCCGACATGGAAGGCTCCAGCGACGAAAGGGCGGGTGGCTCCTTGTCAGGAAAGGTGA